CATATACTGCATTTAATATTGATTATATTATAATTTCATTTATAATGTATTTTTATCATAATATAATTAAATATAGCTAATTTATGTATAAAAACACAAACTTAACAATGAGATAATATTGTGGATAAACGATCAATTAGCAACACAGCATTGCAGAAAAGAAAGGGAAAAAAACTAGAAAGAAACGTTATCAATAAGTGCAATATAGTGTTGTTACTGACACATTACTGTGGGAACTGGTTTTGCGCACGTGGTAGTTATCCGGACAGTTGTTTGTGTGGCTCCGTTGGTCCCATCTTGGCTACATTGTAATCAGAGCGGAGAGGAAAGAGAACTCGTCCATATTACAGCTGCTGTTTCAGGTACTTACATGTCTATTACTAGCTTCGTTTCCTTATTTTGTTCTCAATCTGGACAGTGTTATTGCATTTCATATTTTCTGTTACGTTCTTGTGTCAGTGACATTTTCCCCATCTTGTCAAAATAATGACCTAAACCTTTCATTGGCCCACAGTTAGCTTGTCAGCAATCTGTCGACACCATCAAAGGTGTTGCGCATTTAAAATGACAGCTCGCTCCGCCGCTTGGTTTGCGTTTGCCCAGTGACAGGCGATGGTGACAGTTTAATGACTAATTTCAGTTGTGAATTTCACCCTGTGTAGGGTGCTAGCCTAGGCTTTTTATTGTCTCTGGGATAGGTTGCTAGCTGACATGGAGCCCGACTTTTTCTTTGTCATGTCCCTCCTTTGACCGATGCTGAGTGGATATTCTGGCTGTCAGTCATGGCTTCTCGGACGCTGATTGGTTGTGAGGCTGACAGGCCAGTTTTGGTGCCTTATTTGTTCTGCGGTGCTGTCTGTGGCCTACTGTATTATTACAGAGCAGCAATACTGTTTGAAATGACTGAGGTGTTATTCATATGAATTAATTTTACGCTATTGTCAACGTCACGTAGCTCTCGGTGTGTTTTGACCTGTGTCAAAGCGGTTTTGCTTCCATTTTAGGATTTACGCGTATTGCCTTTCAGAGGCGTTCATTTTGTTTCCTAATGGTGGCTGTGTTTTAGACAGAGAGAAGTTAATACTAAGGCTATCCTTATGTATATCCAAGATATTTTGAGTACATTTTCTTGCTGTGTCATTTTCAGTGATTTATATGTGGAGCTGGTTTCTATATTAACGTAGACCATGACTTCATATTTGTAAACTGATAATTGGCAGATTCTTGAGTGATTTATATATATTGCTGTCTTCATGTTTTTATTTAAGATGAATAGTTGACATGAGATTTGTTAGGGAAATTATTATATCATATGATGTGATATGTTATTTTTTCTTTTATAATTATTGTGCATGCAATTTTAATGACCTACTTGGCATTGCATTCTTAAAAATGTATTTGCCACCACACAACCATAATATCAAAGTTGATTAAAATGGAAAACCTTAAAATATATGGTGAGCAGTTACAAGACCACAAATTTTACACGTTCCCCTATAAACTGAAATATTAATGTTAATAAGAAAATTCCAGAGAAAAGAAAAGTTACACAGAACAGAGAAAAATCCATAACCGGGCAGGTTAAGTATCTATTGAACAATTTTTGTGATTTTTTTCCATCTTGTAATATCTCTGAGCAGCGGTTTCTGTGGTGATGGACCCTCCCGGCGGCCGAGACGAGCGTCATCGTCAAGCGGAGCGGCTTCGGAGGGAGGAGGCATACTATCACTTCATTAATGAACTGAGCGAGGAGGAATACAGACTAATGAGAGACGGCAATCTACTGGGAACACCTGGTGAGAACACACCGAACCCGGTCGTATGCAAAGATGCATGTAGTTTCATTTACACAGAGAAATATGTAAAGCATTTTACAAAATGTAAGGTGTGAGGAAGTACAGATTTCCAAACCTATAGCCTTTTACTTAAATGAACAATAGATGGATATTAAATAGGGTGTGTCTTTGTTTGATTACAGGTGAAGTCACAGCAGAGGAGCTGAGGCAGCGTCTGGATGGGGCAAAGGAACGAGTGTCATCTCAGCCACGCCCTGAAACCCACCCACAGAGCAGTGAGGCAGAGGGCAGTAGTGGTAAGGACATAAAGGGATGGTTTTGAATTCAGTTGCTCAGCTATATTAATATTTTTACTTTGAATGATCAGCTGGATTTGTATGCAATACACATGCAATTACAAAACAAGTCAGGATGCATCTGAGTTTTTTTAGCAACAGTGCAGCGGCATAAATCTTGGGGTTAAGGTTGTGATGATATATAGCTTTATGCAGCCATAGCAAAACATGTAATCTGACCCACGGGGGGCATAAATGTAACGTTAAACTTTGTTGTCAGTCCACATTTGTGATTCTTCTGAATGTAAACTACCGTAATCTGGTAAGATTTTTCAAAAATGTTTTTGAAAAAAGTGAATTTAATGCATCCTTGTCGAATCAGCGTAGGTAGTGCAAGTAGAAACAACCCGAATGAAAGTAAATTGTTTCAATATGTACCCTTTTATTCATCAGTATTGATAAGAAATTGGTAATATACTATACTGATAAATATTTTTTTCTTTTCCAGGTGCAGTTGAGCCAGGTGCGGAAACATCTAATGGAGACTCCCTGTTGGAATGGCTGAACACTTTCCGGCGCACAGGAAATGCTACACGTAGCGGGCAGAGCGGTAACCAAACATGGCGTGCCGTCAGCCGCACCAACCCTAACAGCGGCGAGTTCCGCTTCAGTCTTGAGATCAACATCAACCATGAGCAACCCGAACCTGGAGAACACAGCGACACCCCTGACCCAACTGAACTTCCAATGCCTCCTCCTCCTCCCCCTCCCCCTCCCCCAGAGTCGTCTGCCTCTGCACCCACGACCCCTTACAACCCCTCAAGGTCTGCACCTTACACACTTCAACACCCCACACCATACTCTACAGCCAGGCCCACCCTGGGAAGGAGGGCCGCGGTGCGCCGCACTCGCAGTAACACGGCTCTGCCTGTAACGCCACCTCTGACCTCACAGGCTCCTCCCACAGCTCTTAGGAGGAACTTGCCTTCTTTGCCAAGCTCTCCTCCTCCACAGGCTCCACTTGCTTTTCAGTCACAAGAGCAGGATGGTGGTGCCATAAGGGGTCAAATACAGGTCACAACCTCCTCAGTTAACGCAGGGGAGGGGCAGCATGGAAATGAAGGCCCAGACTGCCCCACCCTTCTGCCTCAGTCCGGCCCCCAGGTGGTGCCGGCTGCCCGTGAGCCACGAAACAGCAGGACTCGTTCACGTGGCCGTGTGCGCCGGGCAGCAGGAGCTGGTGGGGTTTTGTCTCGCTCTTCGAGACGTAGTCGCTCCCCCCTGGACAGAAACCCCACCTCCAATGTTAGCCCCACCCATAGCAGCAGCACCGCCCCAGTGGAGTCCACCGGAAGTACCGCTGTAGCAATGGAAATGGGCGAGGCCACTGTAGAGCCAGCTGCTCCAACGGATCCTCCGGAGGCAGGTGAGGAAGAGGGGGAGACGCCTGTATCAGGTGCTGGAGGTGTGCGGCGCCACCCCACTATCATGCTGGACCTCCAGGTGCGGCGCATCAGGCCGGGCGAGAACCGGGACAGGGACAGCATTGCCAGTCGCACTCGCTCTCGTGCTCGGGCCGCCGAGAACACAGTCACCTTCGAGAGCGACAGTGGCGGCTTTCGTCGAACCATCTCGCGCTCGGAGCGTGCGGGAATCCGCACTTACGTTAGCACAATACGAATCCCTTTGCGACGTATTTCTGAGACAGGTCTTGGCGAGCCTAGCTCCATGGCGCTAAGATCTATCCTGCGCCAGATCATGACCGGCTTTGGTGAGCTCAGCTCCCTCATGGAGACGGAAGCAGACTCGGAGACCACCACTCCCAACCAGGACACCGCTTCTGCTGGTGGAGCCCAGGCGTACCGCGTTGGTAGTGGTGAGGGCGGTGTGGCCCATGGCGGAGTGGAAACGGCACGAGAAGGTTTAGTGGCAGGTGAGGAGGAAGGACAAGTGCGGGTGAGCAGGACTGGGACGGAGGGACGACCTAGCAGCAGGGACACTAACAGCTTGGTGGAAAATGGGACATTGCCCATCTTAAGGCTGGCGCACTTTTTCCTTCTCAACGAAGATGAAGACGAGGAGCACCCAAGGGGCCTCACCAAAGAACAGATCGACAATCTGGTCACACGCACTTACGGTCAGGTCAACCTGGAGGGCGAGCTGGGCCGCGCTTGCAGCGTTTGCATCAATGAGTACGCTCAGGGCAACAAGCTGCGTCGCTTGCCCTGCGCTCACGAGTTCCACATCCACTGCATCGACCGCTGGTTATCTGAAAACAACACCTGCCCCATCTGCAGGCAGCCTATTCTGTCCAGCCATCAGGAATGATGTCAGGCTGTAGCTATCAATCAACGGACTGAACGACTGACTTTTGTTCCACCGTCGGTGGCACGTGTACATAGTGCTTCAATGTTTTCATTCTCTGAGATCCATTGTATTCAAGCTAAAGGTAGAACCAAAAGCAGAAACAGACTATAATGCAGAGATTTAACAAAGTTTTATTTTTTTAGACCCCTTTTGTTTTCATCTCTTCCTCTTCTTCCATTCACCATTATGCTTTGTGGCCATATTAACAGACGGCATGACTAACTCGGATGGAGTTAGGAATGTTAGCTTCAGCTAAAGGTGCGGTTACATTTACTGCTATTTGTCGAATTTTCGTGGGCAAAATCCAGTAATTTCAATGGGTATCCATGTGATCTGGAATTTCGTGTGAGGGCGAACGATAGAGCTGTGCTTTATACATCGCTACACTATTGAAAATAGACATTGGATCTTTTTTGCCTGTGAACTTTCACCAAAATTTCACTAATGCAACCGCACCTTAATTCTATCTCACTTATGAATTTTAAGTTTGGTGGCTTCAAAAAATGGATAAACCTCTTAAAACTCTTTAAGGACATGTAAATAAATGAATGTTTGTGTTTTCAGTTTTAACGGTAAGACAACAGTACTGGTTCAATTGCATTTTCAAAAGGAACCTTTATTTTTAAGCGCTTGCAGAGAAATCCACCGGTTTTGAAGCTCTATGAGTCCTCCATGTAAATGCTCCTTAATGTTGGGCAGTGTTCTTTTAAATGCGTTTTCAATCAAAGCAGGTTTTTAGTGTGATTTTTATGGGGTCGTTAAGAATAGTCATGGGATATGAATGATGCATCTGGTCGTAGATGAATTTGTCGCTGAAATTCCAACTGAAATTCCATCGCAGAAATGCATCTGCATCTTTATACTACGGGAAACGGCAATGAGCAACTCCACAAACACTACAGAACCCAATTTTTAAGCGTGGTCATTATTTTTCCTGTGGACTAAATATGCTTTCCACTTTGAGTGTCATTACATTTCTAATGAGAACAAGCCATTTGCATTTGAACAACAGATTTGGAGTGCCGATCAGATTATATTATATTGTATGAGCTAGTAAGTGCATGCTTGATTTGTACCTGCGTATAAACCCCTGCACATAGTTCACAATGTTTTAATGAAAAGCTGAAATTGATGATCACTTGAAAGCACTTGTCAGCCGCTGCACTATAAGGCAGTACATTCAAGCCTGTCATAGGCCAGACTTCTTCCAGGGTGATGCAATGATACAAGAAGGCAATGAAAGATATTGAATTGTGGTTAAATGTTATGTTTTCCTACTTTTACCCTTCACATACCTTTTTTTATAGTTTTTATCATCACATGCTCTTGTACCGCACACATATGTGCTGCCCTGCTTACCTTCCCTCAGTAGTTTAATGTACAATGGTTTCACTTATGGCCTTGTCTGAAAGCCCCGTTTGCTCTAAATGACCATTTTCATGCAGTGTTGCTCCTTTCCCATGTGAGGCAGAGCGTGAAGTAGGACTTCTGAATGAATGATCATGAATGTAGTGGTACCTTGCGTCTTTCCAAGGTACACTTTTCCTCAATGTACAATAGATGTCTGCTTATGTTTCAGGATCTCGATTAAAACAAAGACAGTCTGTTAATCAACACCTGTCCTCGATGTTATTGTTTTCTTGTGTACTAAAATATCCTTTTATTTTGTCTGTATGTTGTGAGGATGTGTGTATGTTCTGTAAGAAGTGTGAATTGTAAGTATGTGTGTGTGTATATTGCTGAATGGATCAGAATGGGGGATGTTTGGCCATGAAGTTTAAATATGAAAAATTGACATCATTGAGCTATGACTATGTATTATGTTATAATGTGATGCTAAACAGAAGAGTAAGTATTCTGTTACTATGTAATAAAATAAAACTTTTTTTTTCTTCTCTGCTCCCTGAATGATATACATTGTTATTCCTAAGGAACAAATAGGGGTTTCAAACACTGAAATAATGTGCTTTGTGCAGTAAGATGTAAAGATTTTTTAAGTTCATATTTTTATTCAACAAGGATGCATTAAATTAATCAAAAATGACAGTAAATACATTTGTTGTTACAAAAGACTTCGATTTAAAATGAAAGCTTTTCATTTGAACTTTTTCTGCATGCTATATATATATATATATATATATATGCATATAAAACATGTTTCTTTATTCCACCAAATCTTTACTATTAACATAAGATGGAAGTAGGGGAGAGTGGGGTAAGTTGAGCCAGTGGGTAAGCTGACCCATCCCCTGTATCTTGGCAACTGTATACTTTTACTGTCATGTGACCATGTATTTTGGAACCAGCCATCATTTCTGCCAGACTGAAGAGGAGAAACATGGGGGGAATGGAAGGCACCCATTTACGGTACTTTAAAAACTGTTTTTGTCTTGTCAAAGTAAAATTTTAGCATAACAGATGTAATGGTTGTTACATCAAAGCAAATTTATCCAGGTCTAAAAATATTTATGATACATATAGGTAATTAAGCAACATATAAAACCATGCAAATCATTTAGCTAAATATCCTGAATTAGCTATTATTTTTGGGCCTATTTTTGGCCTATGGCAAAGTGAGCCAAATACTGTGGGGTAAATTGAGTCAGCATTTTAACTTACCCCACCATAAGGCACTGTAGTTAAGTTAAATCTTTGAATTATAAACTGTATTTTAAAGTGACATTACTGGTTTAGTTTATCATATAGCCTATACATATTATTTATAATTTATTTGATAGGGAGCGTGTACAAGTGCACCAAATCCTTCTCTGATAAGGACCAGAAAATGCTTTTCATCACATTATAATCAGATATATATTTCCCCCTGTAGTCGCTAATGGCCAACGAACTCTGTTTAGTGTGTTTTTAGGAAGGCTACAACTTTGGTGTTCAACATATTGTTTCAGAAATGCAAACAATTAAATATTTAAATTTAAACTTCATTTGGTTGGTTTTATGTTGTTAAAGTTAACTTTCTGAAAAGAAATATGACTGTTTTGTAAAAGGAAATTATTAAATTAGTGTTTAAATTATAATTTATTTCACATGGCTTTGAATCAGATTCAGTCAGATGGTCATTTTACACCCAGATGGTGCATCTTACTGACTCGGGTCAACTTACCCCAAACCCGGGACAAATTGAGTCATGGGAACAAGAGGGTCTAGCTGCAGCCTTGCACTTGCACTCTCAAACGTGCATTCTCAGGCTTGCATTCTCAGACACTCGCGCTTCCACTAGTGACGTCACTTGCAGTCTTTTATTTTTTTTATTTTGTTCTATTTATTGATTACTTTTTGTTTGAATCTCTCAACATTTTACAACAGTAGCCAGGTGGTGAAGACAAGAAAAAAGAAACTAAATTACGAAGTCACTTGCAATCGCCACTTGCACTCTCCGATATACCTGCGACGTCACTTGCAATCGACACAAATCGTGCGTGTTGCCAATGGAGACAAGACGCTGTGGTGATTAAATGATTAAAACTAATTTTGTACTATAACGTACAGGGTCCTGCAAGAAAAAGACAAGACCCGCAAATCCGTCGCCACAGAACAGCAGAATATGAACGCAATGCACAAAGTCTCTCGTTAAGCGTTTTCCTCCTGTAGAAAAACATAAACACTTAACATGACGTAATGTATTAAGATACATTAAGTTCAATTAAAAGATCAAATTCGATATATAGTTATTATTTAATGTACTACAAGGCAAACAGATGGCTATGAACACAATG